AGTGCACTAGAAGAGAAAGATGCATAGCAGTCACAGATTTTGATTAACAAAGGATGCTACATATTTTGGTCTTCAAGTGCACTGCTTTGCAATGCACTAGAAGAGCAAGATTGTATACATTTGCAGTCGAAACATGCGTCTTTTCAAAACATTGCTATTGGACTTTGACGTTAAGAGATTTTGTAATACCTGGGAGTCTGATAGTGATGCTTTGTCAGCCATTTGTGAAGAATCTTGAGTGTTTGTTTCTGTCATTGTTGGACCTTTTCGTTGGTTACCTGTATTAAACGTGGTACTCTTGCATTAGTTAGCAGAATCTTAAGACGAAAGTGGAAAGTCATTGTGGGTTTTTGAGATTGTACCTTTCTGTCGATGTTTATGGAAGAAATTTTCTTCCCTTTTTCCTGGTTGTCCTTGTGCTCAGTTGCTTTTTGTAGTGTCGATTTTGAAGACTTTTGGCTATGGCAGAATATAACTTCGATTCGCCGGCTTTCTCGTTATGGAGTTTGTCGTTGATTGGTGGTTATGGAGGTTGTCTCCTGCCTGGTGGTTATGGAGGTTTTCGCCTGCTTTTGGAGTGGGTCGCGTCGCAAAGATCGGAGTGAGAGGGTGAGTGGGTTTTTCGCTTTTTGGGTGCGTGCGTGTACTCTGCGTTGAGATATTTTCTTTTTTTTCAATGGGCTTAGTGAAATTGGGCTTTATTGGCTTTTTGAGTTTTTTGGGCTCTTTTTTTGGTTTGTTTGGGCTTTTTTTTGTCAAATTAGACTGGGCCTTTTTTCTGTATTTTTCTATGGCTTGGTTGATTTGTTTTGGGCTTTATTTCGTTTCTGAACTTGATTTTCTCAACTTGGGCTGGGCTTTTTGAAAGTCACTGTTAATACGCATTTTGAACACTGTTAATTCGCAGTTTGAAATATAGAAGAAGCTATAGAGTAACAATTTTTTACATTTGAATCTCACTACACAGTAACTATTTGACATTTGAAAGTTAAGAAGCATCAAAAGATTTTGGTTAGAAGCTACATATTAACAATTTGACATTTGGAAGTTAGAAGCCGAACATTTACTATTTTATAGTTCTAAAATTTGTGAAATCCATACTTTCATCTTTCATTCTCTTTTGTGAAATACCAACTTTTTTTACTTTCCATTGTCTTCAATAAAACTTCTTTTCTCATTTCCCACACATGCTCTGTACTCAAGCTTTCTTCAATTTGTTTTCCTTGTGACAACTTCTGCATGTAGTACATGACAAATACTCCACAATCGTTTCTGCAAATACACACACACACACACACACATATATATATATGCAACATTTAGTGAATCATAGTTTAATTTGAATTGGGGGAAGAAAAGTGTTATTGTGAAACTTACGACTTTTCAGGTTGTTGGGCGCATTCCCTGTCCTCCTTAAAGTTGAATTTGGTGGGATCATGTTTCATCAGATATTGTATTATTTGAGCAATTGTTGGTGTAACTTTCAGGTTTCGAAGAAGTTTTGCAATCTCGTCGGTCAATTCTTCATTGTAGACGGGCTTCTTGAACTCAAGAAGTGGGAAGCTGTTTTTTTCTAAAATTGTTGGAGCACATTCCTTGACACTGTTGAGGAAGACATTTGTTGCGTCTGCCTGCATTGTAGGCAAGTATGTTGTTAGCTTCACTGATTAACTGTTTTGTTCATGCCTTGTATTAATAGTTCATAGTAGGAGTCTGTTTTACCAAAATTATTGCTAAAATTATTGCTTTTTTGTTGTAGTATTCAACGGTTTGCTCAGTTTCCCCCCTCAATGAGTTGTAGTGCGTCCATTGCAATGAATTGGTGTCGAAGACAAGCAGGGTGTGGTGTCCGCCATCCGTTATTGGTATGAACACCTTTGAAGTTTTCCCTATGCATTCAAGGAGTTTGACAAAATATTCATCGAATGTTCTTGGGTGCATTTTATCTGTGAGATACCTCTGCAAAATTAATAGTTTCGGCATTAGAGAGAATGTGAAAAGTATAGGAAGATGAATAATTTGTGATTTTTACTAGAAGTAATGGGATAGT